GCAAGCTGTGGCTGACCCAGCTCCCACGACTGGGAAAACTGTTTGGCCTGCCCCTTCTTGCACTTTGGCCCAAGTCAGGCAGGCATGAGTGGGCCATCAGGCAGACATTGACTGTCCATTACATTTCTAGAAGGGAAGAGAGGCAGTATCACACAAAGGAGTCCCACAGAGAGTACTATCAAGAAGTCACCCCATGTTAGTTCTCTTGCTTTGGCTTCCCAGCGTTAATGACCATCTCAGGGGCCTGAAGACATGACCTCTTTCTTGAGAGATTTATTCTGCAACGTGGGTCCCCGAAGGACCTTGCCACATCGTGTGGATGACATTGAGGGAGGCAGGTATGCCTGAGCTGTAATTAAGCCAGGCAACACATTCATTTGCATTTAACTCAGCAAACACCATTCTCAGGATAGACCCATATACAGTAACCTGAGACTTTTTCCCCCTATAGTATGTTTTATTTGCAGTGGCAGGAAAGCCTTATAAAATCACTATGGTCTACAGAAATAATAGTCTTTCAAAACAGACGGGGTTTTTCCATTTTTATTGATTTCTTTTAAAAATGCCTTAAAAATTGGAGAACTTGGGACTGGCCCACTGGCATAGGGGCTAAGTTCGCGTGCTCTGCTTTGGTGGCCCAGGGTTTGAGGGTTTGGAACCTTGGGTGCAGACCTACACACCACTCGTCCAGCCATGCTGTGGCGGCAACCCACATACAAAATAGAGGAAGATGGGCACAGATGTTAGCTCAGGGAAAGTCCTCCTCAAGCAAAAAGAGGAAGAATGCAATCCACGTTAGCTCAAGGCCAATCTTCCTCACCCACCTCCGCCCCCCAAAAAATTGTAGAACTTGATTTTCACTGCTGGCCATACATGAACATGATATGTATCATGTTATATGGAGAGCTTCCCCTAAAAATCTTTGAAATGATCTGGAAATTCAGCCAGTAGAATCCTCTGAAATGTTGAACAAGGTCTGAGCCAGCTCAAAACCTGAGAAAATACTTCCTGAACTGCCCAATTACTTGAAAAGAAGCACGTTACTTAACATTTATCTGGAGTCTTGGATAAACAAGTGAAGATGAAATGCTAAATTAGAAAATGACAGTGTCTTTTGAAAAGTTTTTAAAATGTTTTGTTCCTGAACCTAAGAGAGAGCCAGGTGCCAAGCCCTCGTGCCCATTAAGATAGGGCCACCCTCTGAGAACAACTCTTGCCATCTCTCCATCCAATGACTCTGGCAATGCCACCTTTTAATACTAGTTTCTGTCTCCAGTCTTTCTTCAAGCATCGAAATGCATTCTCAGCACACTTTTCCTTCAATAAATCACACCATTCTGGTCTCCCTTGTCTCACTTGTTGACTCGAATCTACACCCCTTAGCGATTCATTTGCTTTTCTGCATCCAAAGACAAAACACCGTCCTCAGGGAAGAATTTTAGTTGCCCAAAGGGAGCCATGCAAATCATGTTGGAATCGAAACCTCTCTCTCAAGGGTGATACAGCAGCAGAGAATGTCATAAAGATGTAAAACTCTGGCCTTTTTCTGATTGGCCATTGGTGGAGAAGTTTGTGAGGCTTAGCTGGTTCTGTGTGCTCCCTTCACGGATTCTGAAACATGACAGTTCCTAGGCACTATTTTCAGAGCTGCGCTGACACTTGTTAATAATGTTGGTGTGTAAAGCTGTGATCATTTTAAACGCATTTAGACACAAAGAAAATTAGCTAGTATGTGCCAGAAGGGAAAGGGAGAAATGAAGTGACTGCGATCAGAGAGGGAGAGAATGCTGAAAGGTTTAAGGAAAATCAGAGGCCTTTTTCTGTCAGATGCAAGTACTAGGGAAAAAGTTTAATTTTCAGGTGAAAAGCAAATACTCTCCCTCCTTGATGGGGCCACCTGCAGCTTGCTCCTGGGCAAGGCCTCACAGGCCCCTAGTTGGCCCGTTACCCACCTCAGTGCAACCACTAAGCTTACCTTATGAAATTAACGTAGGGAAGACTCTGATGCTCTGTTTCGCTTTCAAAATCGATTGCCCCACAAATGCAATTTAGGATTTTGGATTGGATTCAGGGACAGGAAAAGGACATTAGTGGAAAATCTGGTGAAATGTGAATAAAGCCTGTGGTTGGTTAACAGTGTTTGATAAAGGTACCACGATGACGTAAGATGTCAGAGAAAGGTGGGTGACCGGTACACGGGAACTCGCTGCACTATCCTGGCAACTGTTCTGGAATCTGAAATTATTTCCAAACAAACAGCTTAATGAGCTGCTTCCCCTTTAGTTGACTTGACTCTGATCTCTGACGAGCACACGGAAGGGAGACCTCCGGTTTCCTGGGGCGGCCTCATTCCTGCCTTTAGACCACACGCAGGTGCACCCAGGAAGCAGGAGGCTGTGTCCCAGAGCGAGGTTGCTTGGCAAGCGAGCTGTGTCTGGTGGCACCAGTCTCCTTTGATTAGCTGGGCAGAAATGCAGAAGCCTGGAAAAGTCAACAAAATGAGCTCAGGCTTGTCACCTGTGTCACTCACTTGCTCTCAGTAACAGGGTGACTATACATTTTCTCAGGCTGGCCCTTGATTCCCTAAACATTTACTGCTCATTAAGGCTGGGACCTTTATTCCTCATTCAAACTCGTAATATCAAGAGTTAGCGACAGAATTCCAAATTTGACACTTTTCTTTAGGTTCGGGGCACCTTATTGTCTTTTAAAAATTGTTTCTATGTGTATTCAATATTAAAATTTTCAGTTTACCTATACTAGATAAGGGTTGTTGAAATTAAGATTCTTGGAGTGGGGGCCGGCCCATGGCCGAGTGGTTAAGTTCACTTGCTCTGCTTCAGCGGCCCAGGGTTTTGCCAGTTCGGATCCATCAGGCCATGCTGAGGCGGCATCCCACATGCCACAACTGGAAAGACCCATAACTAAAATATACAACTATGTACTGGGGGGATTTGGGGAAAAAAAACAGGGAAAAAAAAGATTCTTGGAGTAATGCTCATCCATCCTACATTTTGTTGAACAAGTTACTTCAAGTATCGATTTTTCTCTTCAAAACAAAGGTATCTATTTTCAGAAACACCCATACGGACTCTGCAGTTATTTTCTTTTGCCAAGGTCAGTGGAAAATACTATATTTTCACTTAAAAACAATTGTCCCAAGCATAAAGATGAAAAGCTCTCCTGGGATTTCCCGAAGGATGGAGAAACAAGCGAACAGACGAACAGACGAACCCAGAGTGAGACTGACTTCTGTAGTCACTCGATACTTCTGCATTCTAGCTTCACTACTTCAGACACAGTATTCCAGAAACTTCTCAGGTCCAGGGACGCTGAGCGATTAATGAGAAGCTCTGTAAGATGCTCAGAGATCTCTTAGGTAGAAGGTGAAATTTTTATTTAAAATAAGAAACAAATTACTTCTGCTACAGAAGCAGTGAGAAAAGTCAAGACCAAACCACTGGGGTAGACGGACTTTTTAACAAACGGCGCTGGGATGGCGGAGCAGCCTTTTCCTGAGATGGGAGGGTTCGAGCAGAGAATGAACAAGATCTGATTTATTTTTGAATGAGACCACTCTGGCTACTATGGTGAGTCTGAAGCAGGTGGAGGGTGAATGCAGGGAGGCGACTGGGAGGTGACCACAACCACCCAGGACAGGAGTGGAGGTGAGACATAAGCGGTCAGATTCTGCAAATGATTTGAAGGTAGACCCAAAAGATGCGGCGAGTAAGAGGGCCAAGGAGGACACCTAGGCTTTTGTCCTGAGCAACAGGGAAGGATGGAGCTGTCAAAAAACTGAGATGACAAAGATTATAGGAGCAGACTGTGAGGGTGAGATAAGGGGCTCAGTTTTAGCCATGTAAGGTCAGAGGTCAAAGTGGAAATGTCAAGCAGGTGGTTGGATACAGGTCTGGAGCTGGAGCTAGAGATGGAGTTTGAGAGTCATCAGTATATACACGGTATTTAAAGCTTGAGGCTGGGGCAGATCCCCTAGGGAGTGAAAATGGCTAGACGAGACCCAAGGACTGAGCCTGGAGCCGTCCAAGGTTCAGAGGTCACCTGGAGCCATCCAAGGTTCAGAGGTCAGGGAGAGCAGGAAGAACCAACCCAGGAGACCAAGGCTGCCCTACTCCTTCAGCAGCCCAGTGTCCCAGGGAACAACCTGAACACAGTGAGGTCTTTCGTATATAATTAAGGCCAGAGTACCTGGTAACAGAGGCTTTAAGGGGAAAGACACACATTTCCCCCCTTGCCTTTAAGAGAAGTTTGGTATTTGGGTCAATCTGTTGATACATTTGAAGGGACCAAATAGTAATCTGAAAGACTGTTTTTGGGGGGGGCTTGTGGGGGTGAGGGGTAGTAACTGACAGGCTTGAAGGCAAATTTGGAATGGGTTTCAAAAGCTATTTGTAATATAATCTGTTCAAAATTTAAAAAGGAATAAATTTTGCATGTGCATACTTACATATCCCCCGCATGTCTCCCCAGAGCAAATTTTTTTAATAAGAGAAAAATACAGCAGCAGCCTTAGGATTGACTTTATATAGAAAGCTATCTGTGTGGGGCCAGCCCAGTGGTGCAGCGGCTAAGTGCGCACATTCTGCTTCAGCAGCCCGGGGTTCGCCAGCTCAGATCCCAGGTGCAGACATGGCACCGCTTGGCAAGCCATGCTGTAGCAGGCGTCCCACAAATAAAGTAGAGGAAGATGGGCACGGATGTTAGCTCAGGGCCAGTCTTCCTCAGCAAAAAGAGGAGGATGAGCAGCAGATGTTAGCTCAGGGCTAATCTTCCTCAAAAAAAAAAAAAGCTATCTGAAAATAATGAATCCAACAACTAAATAATATGCTTTTCTCACTCTGACTATGAACTGCCTCCGGGGGCCCTGGCCATATGTCAATGCTGGGACAGCAGCAACGGAAGTCCCACTGTTCTGGGACACAGAGCATTCCTACAGAGAATGAACCTCATATTTATGAGTAGTGTGCAAACAAAAGAGCAGCTGCTAAACATGGATTTATTTGGGCATTATTGTCAAATATGATCAAAACCAAAACTCTCTGATGCTTCACCTGACCTCTGTAGTACTCGAGCCAAGAAATAGTACTTGTACAGAATGTACTCATGTGCAAAGCGGGTCATTTATTTAGCACCACGATCAAATTTTAAAAACATCGATTCCATCTTAAAACAGGCATTTTAAAAGCATTTCTGACGTTCTAAGTTTGCCTGGAGACACGTGCACCACCTGGATGGCTGAGCCCCTCTGTAACTTCCATGGCAAAGGCAATCTTCCCTGGTGGTGGGAAGGTGGGAGGGCAGCAGTGGGTGCGGAGCAAGTGCCCTTTGAACGGTCCTGGGCAGCCTGGCGAACGCCCTTTCCACGTAGCCTGACCTCGAGGAGAAGCGTTTTCTGCTTGTTTAAACAGATTCTCCAGAAACAGTCAGGAATCCTCTATGTAACGATGTTGCAAACTTTACTGAAGAGAGAGCAAGCATAATCAAGGTCTCTTGCCCACCGGCATCTGTCATGTTGAGTTTCTCAAACAGGGCCCTTCATAACCAGCAACCCAAAGCCCTGCTCTCCGGATGTAACAAGGGCTGGTTAACACCCTTTAATAACTACTTTGCAACTCCAAACGACTCGCTGACAGCTTTTCTAGGGTGGGAATGGAGTAACTGCGCAGGTGCTCCAAAGATCTCGGAGACAACAACAAGCTCAGTTTAACCATTTCCATCTAGGTTAACTGCAGAGTTATATGAATTCCAGCTCATTAAGCCGAGGATTACAGACAAGGAAAGCAACGTCTTCTCTTTAGGAAAACCATGCCATTCGGCTGCCTTTCCCTGTTCCTTCTTTACGCTTGATTGTTTTTGGGAAGTGGGGTTACTCCCCACAGGCAGGTGGCAGGAGATATTTACAGGTAAGACCAGGATCCTGCGAACGCTGTCCTTTGTGCGACCACAAGGAAGGTAAGGCAATTAAGCTCAAGAGAACATTTTGTGAACAGGCTAAGACGGCCCAATTTGTCCCTGTCCCTTGGAGCTAGTGAAACTGGACATCTGAGGCTGTCCAAACTCCCAGGCACAAGGAATCCCAGTCCAACTCTCTTGCGACGTATGTGCTAATGATCCTTATCCAGGAAGGGCTTCGATTTATCCTCTGCTGTGGGTTCCTGGGTTACGAGGCCTGGGCTGTGGGTCAGCAGGGTGGGAGCGTCCTGGAAGACTCACAGGGCCAGGGACACCTTCCGGCACGTCCTTTCCTAAGCAGATGGTACCACTCCTGAGACGGCTGCAGGAAATAAGCCTCGAGAGGGGACGGGATTCCGGCCCTCTGCACGGCCAACCAGGCTCTTATCAAGGGCGCACAGGGGAAAGTCTACAAACGGAAATTCTGTGCTGGTCTGGCCTTCAGTCTTCCATGTCAGTGAATTTTCTCTTCTTGTAGTTCTGAACGAGGCTGGAAGCTGTGATCTGAGAAGCCTGCCCCTTCTCCCAGCCCTGAAAGTCATTCAGTCCTTTCTGCCCTGTCTGAAACAAGCCCCTCTCCATCTCGTCGAGCCTGGCTACCAGGGCCGAGGTGTCTTCGTTGTAAGCATTCTGGGAGGAGTCCATGATGCGGCGAAAACGTCCAATAAATGTCTGAAGAAGAAGAGAGTGAGAGAAAGCAGATCCATTTTTATCCCTCAACATTTAAATGGCACAAAAGGAGAGAATTTGGTCTCAGGACTCCATCAGGAGGACATCTGAGTCTACTCTACCACTCGAATAAATCATTTCACACTGCCAAGGCTCGATTCCCTTGTCTGTGAAATGGACTATTGTGAAAATCTGAGCAAGTGATATGTGTCGATCACCTAGCAAATGGCTGGCACAGTAAGCTCCTCAGAAAGTGCTACCCATTATTGTTATTAGTAACAAAGGCCACAATAATGTGCTGTGGTCACATGCAGACAGGTTTCAACCGAAGACTCCTGGCTGAATTGAATGCAGTTTCTGTTTTTTTCAGTCTGAGAGCAGGATGGAGACACATATGATCTAGGGGTGTCCACAGGTCTCAGAGCCCAGGCCACAAGCCCCTGCTTCAGTTTCTTCAACTATCTCACAGTAACGTCACCTCATATATAAGCAACCCTAATCTACAGCACTTCAAAACAGAGATGGAAAAAGAAAACATATAACTCATTAAAAAAGGGCAGTATTCCAACTCAAGAACACGTCCTGGCAACGTTATAAGACAAATGGATTTTCCTCAGTTTTAGCTTGCTGTCCAAAAGAGTTTCCTAAGCTCAGACTGCCTACAGTCTGTGTACTGACTTCTTTTTCTGAATGGATACGACAAAGTTTTTCTTTACTATCTACATTAAAAGCAGCAGTATGTGTTAGGCCAAACAACCCTTGAAGCTGATAGAGGGTGTTTGCAAGGTCTGGGGAGCAAATGGGTTTTAAGCCAAAAGTTCTTATAAAGCTAAAAATGAAGAAGTAAAACAAGAGGTGGAGAGGACAGTTTCTTCTCTTATCAACAGAATAAAAAATGATTACCAAAAGTTAAAATAAGGTTATACTGTAAGGGATGGTAATATATGCATAACATTGTTTGGTCCATGGAAAATAATAGTAATAGTTACCATTCATTAAATGGCACTACATAATCTCACTACGACTCTAGAGTCCGGCACTATTATCACTTCCAGTTTACAGGGGAAGATTGATGCAGAGTGAGGTCAAGGAGGTTGACCAAGTCACACAGCTACTGCCTGGCAGAGCCAGCTCTCAACCCCGCAGCAAGGGAAAGGAGGAAATAACACATATATTTCCAAGAGGAACCCTCAGACCAGTCCTGGGGCTGGGCTGAGACTGTGTATCTAAGCGCCTGACACCTGTAATCAACCATCACTCCTTTCTTACTTCCAGGACTTCCTGCTGGTCCCAGCTCTTCGCCAGAATATATGAAGAGCAGCAGACAAGTCATACTTAAGTCTACATATGATTGGCAAATACAGTGTGACTGTAGACTGCCCGGGAATAATCATAAAGTAATTGTATAAATTATACAATTCCCTGCTAAGAGTGACGTCTGTGGCTGCCACGGCAGGCTCCCGAGACACGTGCAGTCCCACAGGTTCTCACATCAACTACTTGCCTGCAGGAGAGACTGGGAAATATCAGCATTCTCTGGGCTGTCAAAATGCAGGAGCTGGGAGCCAAACCCGTAGAAATGTGGCCCCATTTTGTGGAGGTCCACCACGTTGGCATCTGCACTGAACACGGTCCGCCAACCCTCTTGGTAGATCTTGGGAAGTTCCACAGAAAGGATCCGCCGCTTGTTGTCAAAAAGTCCTTTAGCCAGCCACAAGGGGAGTTCAAGCTTTGAGCCCTGCATCAGACAAGAGTGTAGATTTTAAAAACAAATAACATAGGGGCCGGCCCCATGGCCGAGTGGTTAAGTTCATGCACTACGCTTTGGCGGCCCAGGGTTTCACCAGTTCGGATCCTGGGTACGGACATGGCACTGCTCATCAGGCCATGCTGAGGTGGCGTCCCACATAGCACAATCAGAAGGATCTCAACTAGAATATTACAACTATGTAATGGGGGGCTTTGGGGAGACAGAAAAGACCAAGAAAAAGAAGATTGGCAATAGATGTGCCAATCTTTAAAATAAATAAATAACATAGCATGTGTGTGACAAAACGGAAATACACCTCGCCTCAGCAACACTGCCTGTTCTCTTTGGGAGACTGACTGACAAATGCAGGAGATGTGGTTGTGATCTGAAGAAATGAATAGCTAGTGGGCTGAAGTTTTGTGTCGCGAGGGAATGAAGAGAGAAAATGGATTTGTACAACAAAAACATGGTAGACAACAAAAATGTAATATAATGGGAAAGTTTTCTAACTAACACAAATAAAAACTGTCCAACTGTAGATACTTCAGAGGTATAATAAACATTTCTACTTTCTTTGAATATTCAATATCTATTCCACATATACACTGAGTGCCCACTGTGTGCTAAGCACCGCCCTGCGTGCTGGTGGGACATGAAGAAAAATAGGATCAGCCCGAGCTCAGGCTGCAGCCCCTCCCCATCCCCCTGCACAGCTTCAGAGATGACAGAAAAGCAAAATGTCTCTCTATATTTTTAAAGCCTTAATAGAACTGAAAAGATGAGATGGCCATGACACCAGAAATTAAGGGAAATATCCAAAAAAATAAAAGGTAAACATAACTGGGTTGGAGGAGAGAACAAAAGCATAAAACTCACAGGAGAGAATGGCTGCAAAAGGTGGGAACAGCTTTAGGATGTGTGTGAGCAGAGCTTTTGGAAAACTCACAGGACTGGGAAGATGAATGTTGAGTTCAAAGCTGCCAAAGCAGCCAGGACATGAAGGGCCAAGATCTGAGAAAGAAGAGAGGTAAGTCCAATATTTGGCACCAAATATCCATAGTAATTAGGCACCAACTTTAAAATAAATAAAAAACCAAATGGAAATTCCAGAACTGAAAAATACAATAATTGAACTTAAGAACTCAATAGAGTAAGTCAAATTTAACAGCTTTCCCAGATTTGACATAGATGAAGAGAGGGTCACGAACTGGAAAAAAGGTCAATAGAAAATATCCAGACTAAAGCATGGAGAGAAATACAGAAAAGAGCCTAAGAGACATACGGAATACAGTTAAAAGAAAAAGAAAAAAAAAGAAAGGTCTAACGTGGATTTAATTTAAATCTCAGAAGGGGAAGAGGGATAGATTGAGGCAAAGGAAATATCTGAAGAGATAAAGACCATGAATTTTCCAAAATTAAAAAGAAGTATCAAATTATAGACTCAAGGAACATTATGAACACCAAGTAGGATAAATATTAATAAAAGCACCACTAGGCCACATCTTGTTCAAATTGCTGATAAATAAAAGACATAAAGAAAAGCAGCTACTGGTGGGAAGAGGAGCACATGCCTTTAAAGAAGAAACAGTAAGAGTTAAATCCGACTTCTCAACAGAAACTATGGAAACCGTGAGACAGTGGAAATGGAACGACATCTTTCAAAAAGCGCTGAAAGAAAATAACTGCTAATCTAAAATTCTATACCCAGTGAAAATATCCCTTAAAGGCAGAGGTGAAATAAAGGCATCTGCAGATAGAAAACGTACAGAAGAGAGTTAACACAGCAGGCCTGAGACTGCCATCTTTAGAACGGCCTGCTTGCAAGGCTGGCCCTTGGCTGGCGTCTGGGAACTTGGATTTCAGAAGGGTTCTCGCCACTCCCGGAACTGATCAGAGCGCCTCACTGTTCCTGCATTGTTTGTACAAACAACATGGTTTATGCTGAACCCCAGCCTTCCTTCTGGGAGTCTGGAATTTTGGTATGCGCTAGGTAGAGGGGGCCTCTGTGACCAGCCCCCAGTGAAACATTGGCCACTGAGGCTCTAATGAGCTTCCTTGGTAGACGATATTTCACACATGTTGTCACAGTTCATTATTGGAGAAATTAAGTGCGTCCTGTGTGACTCTGCTGGAGAGGACTCCTGGAGGCTTGTGTCTGGTTTCCTCCAACCGTCATCTCAGGCACTCTTTCCCTTTGCTGATTTCGCTCTGTATCCTTTCATTGTAATAAATCTTAACTCTGTGTATGACTACATGCCCAGTCCTCTGAGTACTCTTAGTGAATCAGCAAACCTGGGACTGGTTGTGGGGACTCCTTATAGAGACGGAAACAGAAATCTTATCCCCAGAAGACCCAGAGTAAAGAAATCGTGAAGGGAGAATGAAAACAATCCCAGAAAGAAATATGGAAAGGGAGGAAGAAAAAAAGAGTAATGGAAAGAGCAAATAAGTGGGTAAATATAACAATAACAAAAATAATATAATACCAACAACAATGTTTTATAGGGTTCAAAATGAGTCAAATTAGAATACATAACAACAAGAATACCAAAGAAAGGAGGGAAAAAACAGAGTTAAAGTGTTCAAAGATTCTAGCACTGTCTGTGAAGAGGTGAAAGTAGTAATTCATATAACATTCCTATTAGTCAAAAATGATTATGTAATATTTAAGGTAGCCACTAAAATAACAGAAGAATAAATGACTAACTAAGCTAATAAAAAGGTAAATGGACAACAAAAAATCTGATTAATCCAAAGGAAGTCAAGAAAGAAAATAGAACCTAAAAGAGATGGGATACAAAGAAAATATAGGAAGGTAAAAATAAACACAATTATATCAATAATTACATTAAATGTAAAGGAATTAAAATACACCAATTAAAAAATTGTCAAACTGAATAAAAACAAAATCCAGCCATCTGCTGCTTAACAGAGACACATCTGAAATATAAAGACACAGACAGGTGGAAGACAGAGGATGGAGAAAATGGTATGCAAGCAGCAATCAAAAGAAAGAAGCATTATTAGAGATAAAGAGGGACATCTGACAATAATGAAAGGGTCATTCTATCCACCAGAAAAATATAAATCTGTCTACACTGACAGAAGTAAAAGGAGAAACAGACAAATCTATAATCATAGTGGAGACTTTAACATATCTCTTCAGATAGATGAGAAGTAGCAAACAAAAAATCAGTAAGAATATGGATCTCAACAGAACAAATAGACTTGACCCAATTTACAGATATAGATTATTTATTGTACACTATGACTTCAAAATCCACATCTTTTCAAGTACATAAAGAATAGTTAAATTGGGGGCTGGCCCAGTGGCACAGCAGTTAAGTTTGTATGTTCTGCTTTGGTGTCCTGGGGTTCGCGGGTTCAGATCCCGGGTGAGAACATGGCACCGCTTATCAAGCCATGCTGTGGCAGACGTCCCACATAAAATAGAGAAAGATGGGCACGGATGTTAGCTCAGGGCCAGTCTTCCTCAGTGAAAAGAGGAGGATTGGCGGTAGATATTAGCTCAGGGTTAATCTTCCTCAAAAAAAAAAAGAATAGTTAAATTGATCTTATGCTGGGGCTTAAAGCAAATGTTAACTTTCAAAAGACTGAAATCATTCAGACTATGTTCTTTGGCCACAGTGGAATTAAGCAAGAAATCAAAAGAATAAATAAATAGCAAAATCACAAAATATTTGGACTTAAGCACTAATCTTCTAAATTATCCATAAGTCAAAGAAGAAATCACAATGAAAATCAAAATATTGTGAACTCATTTATAATGAAAACTTGTGAAATGCAACTGAAGCTATGCTTAGAGGAAATTTACAGCTAAAATGCACCAAGGAAGGTTGCAAAACCAATGACTTAGGTACCCACCTTAAAACGTAAGGGGGAAAGAACAACAGAAAATTAAGTCCAAAGAAACTAGAAAGAAAAAACTAATTTCAGAACTTCAATGACCTAAAAAACAAAAGTAGAAAAGAGAAAACTGACAGAGCCATAAGTTAATTCTTTTTTTTCTTTTTTAGATTTTTTTATTTTTTCCTTTTTCTGCCCAAAGCCCCCCGGTACATAGCTGTACATTCTTCGCTGTGGGTCCCTCTAGTTGTGGCATGTGGGACGCTGCCCCAGTGTGGCTTGATGAGCAGTGCCATGTCCGCGCCCAGGATTCGAACCAACGAAACACCGGGCCGCCTGCAGCGGAGTGCACGAACTTAACCACTCGGCCACGGGCCAGCCCCCATAAGTTAATTCTTTTAAAAGACTAATAAAAAGGATAAATTCATAGCAGGACTAATTAAGAAAGAGAGCATAATTTCTTAATATCAAGAATAAAAATCAGGACACTGCTATAATCCTACAGATGTAAAAAGATGGTAAACAGATATGTTGAACATTATACCACTAAATTTGAAAATTTAGATGAAATAGTCAAATTCCTAGGGGGGGAAATCCAATCTACCAAGTGTAACACAAGAAGAAATAGAAAATCTGAATAGTCCTGTATCTATGAATGAAATTAAATACGTCATTAAAACCTTCCTACACGGGGTCAGCCCGTGGCCGACTGGTTAAGTTAACACGCTCTGCTTTGGTGGCCCAGGGTTTCGCTGGTTCAGGTCCTAGATGTGGACCTAGCACCGCTCATCAAGCCACGCTGAGGCTTGCCACAACCAGAAGGACCCACAACTAGAATATACAACTATGTACTGGGGAGCTTGGGGGAGAAGAAGGAAAAAAAGGAAGATTGGCAACAGATGTTAGCTCAGGTGCCAATCTTTAAAAAAAAAAAAAAAGGCCAAGTATCTTTTAAAAAAAAAAAACCAAAAAGACCCCTTCCTACACAAATCTCCCATGAGAAGAATTCCAAATAACTTAGGTAGACACTCCGCCCTCGAAGAAGTGGAGCATAACTCCCATTCCTTTAGTGCGGCTGAGTATAATGACTTCCTTCCAAAGAGCACAGCATGGAAGGGTGGAAGAAAGAGTAACATTATAATGAAGAATCCTGACAAACGCTACCTCAGCCAGGTGATCAAGGGTCACATCCCCGCAATAAGCTGTGTTGGCAGCACGTACCCTTGATCTGATGTGATGAAAAAGGCACTTTACTTCTGTGATCTTCCTCCCCAAAACTCATAACTGTAGTAAAGTCACGAGAAAAACAGGAGACAGACCCCCACCGAGGAACACACTTCAAAATATGTGAGCAGCAGCACTCCACAAAACTGTCACAGTCATTACAAACAAGGGAAGTCTGAGAAACTGTCACAGCCAACAGAAGCCTAATGAGACACGACCGCTAAACGCAATGTGGTACCTTGATGGGATCCTGGAACAGAAAAGGACGGCAGGGAAAAATGAAGGAAAGACCAATCAAGTATGGGCAGCAGGTCTCTTGTTTCCCAGTGTGTGAGAGAACCAAATCCTTACCCACTATACTGGAAAGTCGTAAATAATGTCTCCATTTGTAAAAAAGCAAGAAGACAAGTTTAAGAGTATTGTTTCGAAACAAGAAGATGAATCTTCAAGAAACTACTGAAAAGGCAGACAGCCCCTGTGGAGCTGGAAAGGGACGCTGGAGAAAGCGAGGCAGGGCCTGCTATTTTTCGTTATAAATCTTTTTGGCACTATTTGACTTTTAAAACTTTGTATATATATTACTTTGATAAAAATGAGCTTAAGCAGATCAAACAAAAACACCCTTCCAAATAAAATTCAGGCTAAACAGGAAATAAAAAATACAAGCCGTGCTCCTGGGACAAACTTGTATTTGAAGCCACACAGCCCTAAGTTCGAATCCCAGCTCACCACTTCACAGTGGGACCCTGTCAAGTTACACTGGGCTTCAGTTTCCTTGTATGTCACAATCCCTAACTATGGGGTTGTTGAAGGATTACAGGGGTAATCCATGGAAACGTTTACTCCCCCCACCCCATCCGTGCGGGCACTAAACCCTCTGTAAGTGGTTGCTGATACCGTCACACTATGCAGGGTGAACTTGGCAATTGGTGGTTCCCAGACTTATCACAAGCTCGTAGAGCAAAAGCTGCTGTTCTAAGGCAAACGTGATCAGAACCCAGATCCTGAAGTATTCAGTAGGAGCCAATCCTTAAGCATTCAACACATGGGGGAGGGGGAAGACAATGCGGATCTGGACAGTTTCAAATATGAAGTCAGTGTTGGGGGGAGCCTGACGACCCAGGACACATTTACCTCCTCTCTCCAGGCGGCGAAGGACAGGCAACCAGCCCACTTCGCGCTGAGCCCTGCGGGTACAACTCGGCAGCGCACGTGGCCCCGCCTCCTGGAAAACGACCAATCGCAGAGGACAGCGCGCCCGGTGACGCGGCGCCCCGAGGCCGCGGGGCCCACTGGGAGTTGTAGTCTTTCTGGCGGGAATCCGCGCCAAAAGGCTCACCTCAGGGATAGCGTTGTCACTCTCGGCCCCTCCGCTCCGGTCCAGGAAGAAAGTGCCGAGGCGAGGTATGGGGGTCTCGGTGCGCACCGGGAGCTTCTCGTGAGACATCAGGATGTCGTCCAAGGAAAGGAAGTTCTCCTCAGGCCCCAGCGCACCCGACTCCACCCGGAAATAAGCCTCGGACATGGTGGCGGCTTGAGCTTCTCCGCATCCGCTCGTGTGAATCGGGCGACCTCGGGGAGTCAGGGATGTAAAAGGAGGAGGCAGCACAGGCTGGTTAGGATTGTAGGGTCGCTGTGGCCGCCAGACTGGATTGAAACGCTTTTCCCGCGCTGGGGGACGGGCCAGACGGGAGCAGTTGATCCAGGAGGGGCTGCCCAGGCAGAAGCAATCGATAAAGTCGGCGGACTTGGTCCAGCGCAACCTGGGGCGCGGGAGCAGTAGGTGGGGCCACAGGAAGTTTTCCTCCCGCAGAGTGTAGCCCAGTGTAGCCCGCCGGCATTAAAAAGAGCCTGGAAATGCCCGTTGAAGCTGCAGGATGCATTGCACTGGATTGTGTTTGTGTGGTCCTTTAAATGTACATATGTGATATGAAAAACTTCTCAACACGTTTGGGGGCTTCAGAAAAGGCATCATTGTGCCCTCCATCGCAGGCCTGAGCAAGGCAGACCTATTTTCTAGAGTTTTGTCACTGTGCGTCTCTGTTAATCTTAGTACTTGAAAGAAGCATTGAAAAACAACAACACTCCACCACTAGCTCCAGATAGTGGACTCTGTAGCACTTTGGAGGAGGAATGGGGTGAAACGGGACAAAGCGTGGAGTGCTAGACTGCACGTGGCTTGCAAAGGTCCTGAGTCTAATTCAGGAACCTCCAGCTCACTTTACCATCAACTGGCAATCTCCTTTTGTGGCTATTAATTTAAATCCTTAAAAAGAGGAAAGGAAATCTGATTGGTCCAGTTCATCTTTTGAGGCAGGCCACAAGGGTCATAGGTGGCCAGCCACCCTATAGATTGGGTACCTGTGTCTAGGTGCCATCAGTGGTCTGGTGGGGTGGGAGGGGAGAGAAGGGATCATGGTTAGTGATACTGGAGTTGGGGGTGCTACCCTATCAGGGCTATGGGTGATGGCAGAGTGTTGAGAGAGACACTACACAACATTTTTTATATAAAAGGGCATTTTGGGGGGGCTACTAGAGCTGTGAGCAAAGAGTTCATGGGAAGGGAGATATATATTAATCATGTTTTTTATTTTCTGTATTTTATGATACTTTGACGTCTTGGGGCCTAGGAGCCCCGGGGAGGAACTGCCCCTCCCAGGTGAGCTCATTCCTAGAGATAACAAACAACTCTGCCAACACTTTCCATATACAAACCAAGCAATGCACAGCCCATGTTCCCAACCACTTCCTTTATCTAACTCTCACAGCCAGCCAACAGTTCCGCCCTAAATCACCCCAGGGCCAAGTATTGGACAATTAGGGACCACTCTTAGAGCCCAGAGCCCACCAGCGATACTCAGACTGTCCAGTCCCAAGCTTGTTCAGACTTGCCTATTCTGCCTCACCCATTCCTTCCCACAGAAACCGCAGTGAAGGCTCTGGGCCATGTTTTCCCCTCACTCCTGCCTCCTGACTGACCCTGGTCCTGCCCATGTGGCCCTGCATGACATGACATGGCTTCTTCTCTTGGGAACTGTGAGCAATAAAACTTCTTTTAATGGCACTGACCACTCTGTGTCATCACTCAGTCACCTCTATAAATTAAATCCTGGGTATAATCAAAACAAGAGGCAGTTGGGGAGTCAGGGCCAAATTGCGGAAAGCCTTGGGTGCTGGTCTAAGGAGTGTAGGCTATTCCATAGGAAATGAGAGAAAACGGGTAAGGTTTCTGAGCAAATGATAACAAACCTGAGCTTTAAGAAGAGAATTCTGGCAGTGGGGTGAGAAGGGAGACACTAGATGCAGGGAAGCCAGCTTGGAAGCTGTGCAGTGGGCAGGACCTGGCAACTGATTGGATGGAGGAAGTGAAGGATGGAGAAGGGGCAAGGATGATTCAAGTTCTTAACCTGGTTGACCAGGAGGATGGAGATGTCACTAGCAGATACACAGAGCACGGGAATATGGGCAGTTGGCGGTGAAAGATGAGTTTGGTGTGGCGATCATGGAGTCCAGGAGCTGCTAGACAGGCTGGTCTGCAGCCCAGTGGAGACACCAGCTTCGAACCTTTACTTAGGCATCTATAAATACATGAGCATCTTTTCCTTTATCATATTTTAAATGTGCAGTTTGCTATACTATCCAATACAAAAGTAAACATAATTCACAGCCAAAATTTATAATTCCTCTGATGAAATGGACGTAGGGTACTGGATATAGTTTGGAGCAGAAATATAAGTTAATTTGTCTAATGGAAGGCAAGGCAGGTTATTTACTGACAAGGATAGTAAGCTATTTTTTATGTTGAAACAGTTAAGATGAATGCTTAATGATTTATCAGTGCCAAAGAAAGGCATTATTTTTGTACAGAGATCAGAATATTGGCTCTGAATGCAAATACCACAGTTATTTTAATACTAAAGTAAAAAGCCAGTGTTTAAGATAAAATCAGATTACCTTGTTTTTCTTATTTAATGTCTTGGCTCACCATGAAACTATTATTCACTGCTTGCATATTTTTACTCCATTTAAATCTATCCTCTCCTTGAACTAATAAATGGATACACCAGCAAAAGTGAAGCTAGTTAAAATTTGAGCTTATGATGTTAAACAGTTGAAATTAATTCATTTGACAAAAATGGCACATAATTTATCGAATATAGATCTGTTTATCGCCCAAATTTTAAGAGCCAGGGATGCTGCTTTTCTCTGAGAAAGCTTGTGTCCCTTAGTACCCTGCCAATCCAATCAAGCTATTTACCAGAATTACACTAAACAGAATTTCAGCATCTTTATGACATTCAGAGTATGTTTGATATATTTGTAATATACAGAATTTCGGCATTCTGAAAGGTGTCTGCTGGATCTCTGAAAAATGGAGTGATTTTTCCACTGTAATCATTTCAAGATTGCAGAATCATAGGTCTGTGTAGCACACACAGACTTTAGATAAGTAAAACCACAGCAGCTTTAAATCTGTTCTTTTGAATACTAGTGCTTTCTAAATTTCTCCCATTGAGTGGGGAGGCTGTGATGCAAGACACAGAAATCCGGATCGGGGGATGGGGAGGACCTATAGAGGGAAAAAAGAAAGAAAAAAAGAAATGTGTTGGACTGCATCGTTCTCGTTGCTTGCTTAGCCAAAAGTTTTAGGGTTTCCCTTGGTCCCTCTCCCCTGACACTCTATAACTGGTCCACCAGCAAATGTTGGATCTACCTTCATCGTAGTTCCAGAATCTGACCACTTATCACCGTGGTCCAGGCCACCATCATCTCTTGCCTGGACTTTTGCAGTAGCTTCCTATGTAGTCTTGCTTCTTCCCATGACCTCCTCCTTGTTCCTTGAACACCCAGGCACTGGTAGCTCAGGGCCTCACACTGTCTGTTCTCATTGCCTGTCCCCGTTGCTGCTCTCTTGGATGTCCACATGGCTGGCCCTTTTCACGTCTTTACTCAAAGGTCACCTTCTCAACGAGGCCTTCCCTAGCCACCTTATCTAAAATTTTAACCCTCTCCCACTGATACTTGATCTCCCTCTCCCCTTTGTTCCCTCGGCACTGACTACTCTCTGGAGTACTGTATATTTGATTTATTTATCTTGTTTATGTCTGTCACCCCTTGGAGAACATTAACTCCATGAGGGCAGGAATTCTTTTTGATGTCTTTTTCACTGCTGTATCCTCACTGCCTGGTGCTCATTAGCCATCTCATAAATATTTGTTGAATGAATTAGTGGCTCTTTATTTATAGTAGTGATATAATTTTACTTTAAAACATTAAGTAAAAACAGTCAATTTTAAGTAAATGATAGTACCAGTGCTGTGCAGATATTACAAGAGTCACAAAGGGTAGCAGTGAAACATTGAAAACACTGAATTTAGTGGTTAAAAATAGTTTGCCAAGGTACAGGTTAGGTCACATGTAATTTTCTAGATCCATGGCCTTAAGTCACTAATAATGCCATGATGAAAGCTCATTGGTTGTGCTCCACCAATTTAAATTTGTTGACATTTTGGCAGAACTATACTGAATTTTACCTTTACTCCAGCTGTAAAAATGGAATGCTTAAGCAAAAAGAGTGAATAGGATTGAAAATCGCCCTACCTATGAAACGTTTCCAGCAGCCATTTATACTCAGTTGCTGTGTTACTTCTGGAATCCGAAAGGCCTGGGTGGAATCCAGCTTCCACCGTTTTAGTTGGCTTTGTGACCTTGGGTGAGTTACCTCTTGGAAGCTTAGTTTCTGCGTCTGTAAAATGGGGATAATGTGATAGTGGCTGAAGTGTTGTGGTGAGAGTGGAATGAATGAGTCAATAAACGTAGGATACTTAGCTCCAGGTGGGCTCAATTAACGTCCTTCTTGTCATCATCATTCATGTGTGTTTGTTCACTGCTGGATCCTCAGGACCTCAAACAATGCCTGGCACATAGCAGGCACTCCCTGAACATTAGTTAAATCACTCTCATCATTCATTTCCATCATCACTGGCCCAGGCTTGGCTACACTTTTCTCCCCCCAATTCAAGTCCTAACTGTACTTGAAGGTAATAAGTTATTATTCTTCAATTCAACTTTTTCCTATGAAAAGTCAGGTAGAATTTATCTCCTCTGAGTTCAAACTATTAAAGGGTGGGGTTTTTTTGGTATTTTGAAATGACAGTACTGTGTTTGAAATCTTATTATGTAAGGTTAATGGATTGAAATCATTGGAATTCATTTTTACATAAATTAACTGTTCTTTTGGTTGAGCTATATCTTGAGCACTGCGCCAAACGCCTTCAATGAGATCAAAATAAATTGATGGGCATGTTGCGACCTTCTGTGTGGGCAGCGCCAATTTTAGATTCTTCCCACAGTCTTCGGCAGTATGAACAGGAATTGTAAACCCGTCTTATATATTCTGAGAGATTCTGTATGTGTGTGTGTCACCCTCAGAATTTGGCAAAGGAGCAGCTATCGCATCATTATAATGGATAATATATAATTCAGCTTTTCTTTTTTTGTGTTCCCAGATCCATAAAAGTACCCTTTCCTCTCATTCTTTATTTTCATCTTTTTCTGGTACTCTATAATATAATTTAATCTATGATCTGATAGCCAGAGTTTCTCTCAGTCCAAAGTGGGTGGAGTGGCAGGGAAATTCATGAGTTTGAGGAGAATATGGGGGAAGAACCACTGTCATTTATTCATCGAGATGTGCAGATGCCTATTAGATGCCCTGGGGCTGCAGACGTGGACTCAAAGAAGACGACTTGTCTGGACTGTTCAGGAGGTTGGCACCCAGTGGAGGAAATAGTAACATGAGATACGATTGAGCCAAGTCCAGAAAGTGATAGAAACTCAGAAGGAATGGTGACTTCTGACCTGGAGAGAAGAGGGGTGTACAAAGGCTT